TGACGACCAAGTATTAATTCTGCTCTTTAACCGATCTTGGACAAATGCAAAAACTTGGGCCTTAGATCCATGAATCTCCTCAGGAAGTCCTAGGTAGGTGCCCATGCCTCCTTCTTGATGGATTCCTAAGATATTCTTAATATCAGTCTTTCTCTGCGGTTGGTTGCTATGGTCTGCACATGTTTGCTTGAATTCTCCACAAGTTGATCACTCTGTCCCAGCCAAGACGCCTCTGTATGAGCTCGATGGAGCTCCTCTTCAAGACTCCAACTTTGTTAAATATTTCCAAAATTTCTAAAGAGTTTTACCCAAGATGGTAGTTGTATGTGTCTGAACACAGTTGTACTTTGATATTTTAAACTAATAATCAGTAGTACTTTAGTTTAAATTTAGTTTTTGTAGCTGTACTTTTGATAATAGGTAATAAAAATACAATTACTAAAATTTCATATAGCAATATTTGTTAAATATGTTGTTTGTAAGTTTGACATAATTATTAGTTCGGATAAGATTTAAAAGAAACGAAGCCAAGGTTTCTAAATCCTCCCAATATGACAGTCGGGCGAGAATACCAAAGTAGCAAGTGGGAGCATTTAGTCAACTATCACTTGTTGTATTGAGAAAGCTATCACTTATTGTGTGAAGGAAAATGGGACACGTCATAGGCCTTAGCAGATCTTATTACTACAGAATCCCTTTGAACAATTAAAACTTGACCCTCAAGATAAAGTCATGTGTATGGAATCTTGTATAGCATATTCATTTTTTAAATTTTTAGTTGTAAATTTTGAATCAAAACTTAGTTGTACCAGGGTGTACCTATTTGTACAACGACATACAATTTTTACAAAGTTCAAAATGATTTTTCCAAATTAAAAAAAAAATCGAAATTATTATCTACTTCACAATATTATTAAAAAATAAAATTAAAATAAATTAAAAAACTTTTATCATGTTTAACACATGACGCCGTAAAACAAACACATGTTGCTGGAAAAAGACCACATGTTTAAAAAGAATAGTTAAATATTTTCAAATTTTCTAAACAGTTTTACTTAAGATGGTAGTTGTATGTGTCTGAACACTGTTGTACTTTCATATTTTAAACTAATAATCAGTAGTGTTTAAATTTAGTTTTTGTAGTTGTACTTTTGATATTAGATAATAAAAATACAATTATTAAAATTTCATATAACAATATTTGTTAAATATTTTGTTTGTATGTTTGACATAATTATAAGTTCGGATAAGATTTAAAAGAAAGGAAGCCAAGATTTCTAAATCCTCCCAATATGACAGTTGGGCGAGAATACCAAAGTAGCAAGTGAGAGCATTTAGTCAACTATCACTTGTTGTGTTGAGGAAGCTATCACTTATTGTGTGAAGGAAAATAGGACACTTCACCCTCAAGTTAAAGTCATGTGTAGGCCTGGGCACAAATATGGATCCACATAGAACCGAACCGAACCGAACCGAAATTGATGGGTATGGTTCGGTTCTGGTTCTAGTAAAAATATCGATTGGATCTTGAATTTCAGATCCATGGGTATTGGTTCGGTTCGGGTAAGAACCGAGATCCAAATGGGTACCCGAAAAATATAATCCATGTACCTATATCTATATATCCCAAAGCCCAAATACATACAAACCTAAACCTAAACCCAAGCCCAACAACCCACTATATATATTTCATAAACCTAAAGAGAAGAAGAAGCAGAAAATTGTAACAGATTTAAACTTCGGGTTACTTTGGTGTTTTAAAAACTTGTGTTTTTCGGTATCTTTGAAACTTTGGGTGTCTTTTGAGTTTTGACATAACACTTTCCAAGTTTCTAATATTTTTTGGATTTGTAATGGTATGCTTACTAATATGTGATTGCATACTTACCTAATTGCATTTGAATATTGTATTATGATTGTTTTGTTTTTTCGGTTCCAAAAATACCCGAAATAATTTGGTTCCAAAATTTATTACCCGAACCGAACCGAACCGTAGAGGAACCGAACCGGAACCGAACCGATTTTGATTTGGTTCCAATATGGTTCCTAAATTTGAGAACCAAAATACTAAGAACCGAATGGTTCGGTTCTAGAACCGAACCATTTACCCAAACGCCCAGGCCTAGTCATGTGTATGGAATCTTGTATAGCATATTCATATTTCAATTTTTAAAATTTTTTAGTTGCAAATTTTAAATTAAAACTTTGTTGTACTAGGATGTACCTATTTGTACCACGGTGTACCTATTTGTACCACGACATACAAAATTTACAAAGTTCAAAATGATTTGTCCAAATTAAGAGAAAAATTAAAATTATTATCTACTTCACAATATTACTGAAAAATAAAATTAAAATAAATTAATAAACTTAAATCATGTTTAACACATGACGCCGCAAAACAAACACATGTTGCTGGAAAAAGACCACATGTTTAAAAAGAATAATTAAATATTTCCAAAAATTTTAAAGAGTTTTATCAAGATGGTAATTTGATGTGTCTGAACACAGTTGTACTTTGATATTTTATATTAATAATCGGTGTACTTTAGTTTAAATTTAGTTTTTGTAGTTGTACTTTTGATATTAGGTAATAAAAATACAATTACTAAAATTTCATATAACAATATTTGTTAAATATGTTTTTTGTATGTTTGACAGAATTTTTAGTTCGGATAAGATTTAAAAGAAAGGAAGCCAAGATTTCTAAATCCTCCAAATATGACCGTTGGGCGAGAATACCAAAGTAGCAAGTGGGAGCATTTAGTCAACTATCACTTGTTGTGTTGTTGAGGAAGCTATCACTTATTGTGTGAAGGAAAATAGGACACGTCACCCTCAAGATAAAGTCATGTGTATGAAATCTTGTATAGAATATTCATTTTTTCAATTTTTAATATTTTTTAGTTGCAAATTTTAAATTAAAATCTAGGTGTACCAGGGTGTACCTATTTTTACCACGACATATAAAATTTGCAAAGTTCAAAATGGTTTTTCCGAATTAAAAGAAAATTTAAAATTATTATCTACTTCACAATATTACTGAAAAATAAAATTAAAATAAAATAAAAAAACTTAAATCATGTTTAACACATGACGCCGCAAAACAAACACATGTTGCTGGAAAAAGACCACATGTTTGAAAAGAATAGTTAAATATTACCAAATTTTCTAAAAAGTTGTACTCAAGATGGTAGTTGTATGTGTCTGAACACAGTTGTACTTTTGTATTTTAAACTAATATCAGTAGTACCTTAGTTGAAATTTACTTTTTGTAGTTGTACTTTTGATATTATGATTTCGGGGATATATATGTTTTGAACTTTAAATTCGTGGGGATATAAAATGAGAAACATTTTTTTGGGATATACCGTAACTCAGCCGTCACGTGCGCTGTCTTTCCGTAACTCAGCCGTCATGTGCGCCGTCTTTCCCAAGTGCGCTGTCTTTTACTCACATGGACGCCGTTAAATTTACAGATAGTTATACCAAGTGTATTAGTAGTTGTACCAAAATTTCAAATAGTGTTTTCCGTTTAATTAGTATCACATATACTTTTAATTTGTTTATTTAGTTGTATAGTTGATATAGCTCAATTAACATATAATTCGGAGTCTTTTATGCATTAATATGTTTTAAACTTTGATTTCCGTCACTTTTTCATCATAAGTTGGTCATTATTTACAAAGTGACTTAAAAGTATAAGGGATATGTTGTGTAGATTCTTTCATAACAACACAAAATGACAGAATTTTGTAATTTTCAACTTAACACACGTTTTAACAGACTTATTAGCGTTGTAAAGTATGTGGGTAATAATGATTCAAACTATGATTTCGAGGATATATAAGTTTTGAACTTTAAATTTGTGGGGATATAAAATGAGAAACATTTTTTTGAAGGATATACCGTAACTCAGCCGTCACGTACGCCGTCTTTCCGTAACTCAGCCGTCACGTGCGCCGTCTTTCTGTAAATCAGCCGTCACGTGCGCCGTCTTTCCCACGTGCTCCGTCTTTTACTCACATAGGCGCCGTCAAATTTACACATAGTTGTACTCAAGATGGTAGTTGTATGTCTCTGAACACAGTTGTACTTTGGTATTTTAATCTAATAATCAGTAGTACTTTAATTTAAATTTACTTTTTGCAGTTGTACTTTTGATGTTAGGTAATAAAAATACAATTACTAAAATTTCATATAACAATATCTGTAAAATATGTTGTTTGTATATTTGACATAATTACTTGGTTAAAATTTACAAAGTAACAATCAAAGTGTAATGAATGTTTACTATACATGAATCCTAAAAGTAACAATATAGTAATATATGTTAAAATATGATATGTCTTAATGTTTGCATTCACTAACATAAAAATTGATGATTTATTTAAATTTTTTAAATTTTTTAGTTGCAAATTTTAAATTAAAACATAATTGTACGAGGGTGTATCTCTACATGCGCTGTCTTTTTACTCCACGTGCGTCATCTTGTTACGCACATGTGTCTATGTTGCACTTCGTATTAAAATCATCTTGTCGCCATCGCCATCTTCACTTTTCGTCTGATTCAAACTTTTCGGACAAAAGTGGTGATTGAATTTCAATAATTTTCCCACGTGCGCCATCTTTTCCCATGTATGCGTCATCTTTTTAACACAGTTATACTTTTGTAGTTTTTCATTTTAGTCAATAGTAGTACATAATATTTTTCTCGAGTAATCTGTTATCTGAGTGTTCTATAAAATTAAATTATCATAGGAAACAAAACCGTGTGGTACAAGTCCTCTTGTTGATCAATTATTGTTTAATAGCATTGTTGATCAATTATTGAAGGGTTAATTTGTTCGAAACAAAACAAAACAAAACAAAACAAAAATACTAGAAAATCCTTTTACCAAAAAAAATACTAGAAAATGAGAAGGTGACAGCACATTGTCTTAAACTTTTTTTTGTGTTGGTCTACCATAAGTAATCACATGATTCTTTTGTTCAAAGCTAGCTGGTCAATAGCTGTATTAACTGCATTTACACCACACATATACCTTGGATCGAGTAAGCCCTTGGATTTAGTTTTCTTACGTAATCTCTCAACTCTTGGACATATAGAAAAGTGCGAGAAGAACGAGATCATGAGATTCTACGTTTCCTCGATATGGCTGTTCTACTAGATGAGACAGGTGCAACGGATAAGTCTAGCTTGTGTGCTTCAACCATTGAATACACCTGCACTCCATCAACAACAGGTACTACCTGGACAAGAATAAGCAGTGCCAAAAGAAGTAAAGATTATTACTTCAATGTCTTACATATATACAATCGTTCCACCATCAGAAGCACAAAATAGTTGTCTGACACATCAAACGTATCAACCAGACTTCATTAGCTAAAATGTAACAATTTGTGTATCAAATCGCAAAAAAATAGGAAAAAGTTCAAAACTCACCTTCAATAGCTGAATACTGGAGGCAATCCATTAAAATTCAAAAAACAAGTCTGAAGATGAGGACTCGCTAACCACGACGTCGCTACGTAACTGAAATTCATTAAATAATTTCTATATTTTCAGACATCCAACAGCTGCTTACATGCATGTGGTTGTCTATTACAATGGAGGTGGCAGGTTAACTATCACAAGAAACCATTTGATCCATAATGTATCCCAAAATTCATTAAAAAAGAAGAAGAAGAAACATCACAGACAAGCTTGTAAACCTAGATTATTGCAGCGTGAGGAGATCAAAGAAGTGGACCAAATGCTTTTCCCCCATCCAATCAATCTCCTCGGATCTCCGGTTCTCATCCTGTGTAAGATATTTTTCAACCACCAATGCTTCAGAGTAAATAAAGAATGCAACTATAAAGCATCCTCGATAAAAAGAAACGAGAGAAACCTTCAGAAACATTTCAAAGGGTGCATCAAACACGGCTTCCACCTCTGCAGGACTTGGCGTTGGATTGAATGCTTTTCTGTCCCACAATATTCCTATTACAGGAATTACTCTAAGCAGATGCTGCACTGGAACATGAATCACAGATAAGCAAAATATTGTTCAGAGTTGGAGAACTATGCATCTCTCACTTCATAAAAGCTAAAGAAAGCTTGGTATGGGGCAGGGAAAATATTGCATAGAGACTAAACCAACATTAAAAGGCAGGATATTCAGGCTTCAGCTACTTCTAAAATTTATTCAGGATCTTAGAAAAAATATAGAGGGCCGCTGCAGTTACCATTACTCTGCTACTAGGACACGAAAAAAATGTATTAGAACTACGAACAAAGATTCAAAATTCAGTTATGAAAATCACAATGGCCTAAAGACAGTCACTGGTTGAATATGGCCTCGACACTTGAAAACGCAAATCTGCCTAATAATCAACCGTTACTCTTGTGTCACAAAACACGGCTCCTAATACGAACATGCATTTGTCATAAAAATAGCAGCAAGGAGAAGGGGACAGTGAGGACTTTTGATACCTGAGACAGGAATGGTTCGAGGAAAGCAACAACATCAACAAGCGAAGGGTCTAAACCAATCTCTTCCTCTGCCTCTCTAGTTGCAGTAATCCCATCATCCTTATCATTCTCTTCTGCTTTACCACCTGGTAAAGAAATTTCTCCTGCAAACATAAAACATAATCTTAACTAGTTAAACTCAAATCTGAAAATGAACTCAAAGACAGCCGCTGTCTTAGGTATGAACCTCACCGGAGCCATAGGTTCCTGAAAACCAACGTGAAAGATCAATTTGCTGGTGTTCTCCTTGTATGCACGCATCTCTTCCGCCTCTAGAAGTGAGCAAGGACCATAAAAACAAAAACAACAGCAATACGACCAATAAGGCTTCAGAAACCACAAATGAAAAGTACCAAAAAGTCTTAAAAATAGTCAGTAAACTAGTCTCTACATTGGCCTAGTGATCCACGAACTTAAAGCCTAAGTTCTATACAAAACAGAGGCTTTCTCCATGAGAAATTGCACAGATGGATTAAAAAAAGAACAGAATAGTAAATTTATTACTATCCTTGGATTTATTAAATTCTTCAAGCAAGCACAACAAATTAAAATCAATGTTACAAATAAATTATTAACGTTGGAGATAACGATATCACGATCACTAAACATAAAACATAATCTTAACTAGTTAAACTCAAATCTGAAAATGAACTCAAGTTAGTAAGAGACCTGCAACTCATTTCCAAAAAAGAAACATGCGAAATCTGAAACTGAAACTGAACTCAAGTCAAGAAGAGAAACCTGCAACTACTAAAACTCAATTCTAAAATTGAACTCATTTCCAAAAAGAAACATGAATCAAACGAATTAAGACAATTAACAGAGTCCCAGTATATCGAATTCGAGCAAACGTATTCAATTTCTAGAAAACACACGAGCAAAGAAACGAAAGAGCCACAGACCTTGAACATCTCCCATTTATTTTTCGACTTTTGCTTTCATCTCCCGCAGTGCAGCAGGTTCTTCCTGCATCTCCTTCAATCTCCTCTTCATCTCATCAAGCTCCTGATACCACGAAATCAAGACACCAAAATCAAACAGAAGCATACAAAGGAAATACAAAATCAGAACGAATGAACACACATGAGAGACAGAGAAGCAGACCTTAACGACAATATAAGAAATTTACAAATAGCACTTGAAATCCATCAGTAGAATAAATGAAAACGACAGAGATAATAGCCTTGTTTTACAAACCTGGCTAAATATAGAATCCTTTCTAGAAGATTTACTCTTTCTTTGTTTCTTCACCTCACTTAATCACTTGATAACCTTGTTTTACAAACCTGCAAAATTTAAAAATTCAGCTCTTTTTAATATTATAATTCTTTCATATATCGATAGCTCCAATGATTCCAAAAACAAAAAGCACCATTACATGATACCAAAATCTACTTCAACAATTGCAAAGACATCAAGCTATCTAGTTATAATCTCAGCCCAAGAACTGAATATCTACAGGTAGTAAAAACAATTGGTTATTCGAATTCAAAATTGTAAGAGTAAAAACAATTGGCTAATTCGAATTGTAGGATAACAGAGGAACACAAAATTCAAACCTATTGAAGCCACTAGAAATCAAACGGAGAAAGAACAAACCCACAAATGGGTCAGTAAAAAGTACCAACAAACAGAGAAATTCAAACAAAAGATATGAAATTTGGCACTTACCCAAGAGGATAGACGTTTCCCGGAGGTCTTATCCCCTCCGTCGGAATCTCAACGATTCTTCCACGAAATACGGCGATTCTCACTGGAAGAAACAATTCCGTAAATCGGCTCGTCCTAGGTGTCGTGGGGGCCTAACAGTTCTAGTCACCGGAGTAGCCGGATTTGTCGGTTGGTTGATGCGTATCGAAATCTCTACCGTACGGAAGTCGATCTGCTCTCGCCAAGGTCCCAAGAAAGTTTGTCGACGCCATTAAAGGCACATCTTAGGTTATTATCGATATATTTAAATTTTTTAAAAAGTTTAAAATCATATATATGAAAGTAGCTGAACTCTCTCCAGCTGTGTGACACGTCAGCGCATAAAATGATGCCACGTGGCATCGTAAAAGTTGACGATTGGAATTTTGCAATTTTGTAACTTCTTCCATTTAGTCCTCGACTTTTCTTTAGGGTTTCATCATTCGTTTCTCGTAAATAAATGTCAAACTTTGAAACCGATGCTTGATAAAATACTTGGATGACTCCTTATCTTCTATCATATTCTCACTGTTTTTCTTCACCTCCTAAAATCATTTGTGCATCAAAATTCTCTGTTTAGCATTTCTCTCAATTCCATGGTAGAAGGCAAAAAATCAATTTCTTTTTTTAAGTTTATCATCTTTAAAATCAATTTACAACATAGATCGGATGTCACCATAATTAAAATCATTATTATTTTGGGTTGTTTTCATTAAAGGGACTACAATACTAAAAGTGAGAGGAGAAGAGGTATGGAGGAAATTAACAGACCGTAGATTTCGTGAGGAAGATGAGTCAATGAGGGAAGAAAAAATGAAGCTAAACGGAAGCGAGATGAGCATTTGGGAATGAGTTTATAGACGAGAGTGATTCTGTTTTCCACAAGTTTATTAGACTGCCTCAAGCTAGCCAATCTTATTTGTGGTAAATTTTATTGACGCTTCTTTTTTGATTTCTTGAACAAAATTTATCCCGGTTTCATGATTTTCTGTTTTTATTATGTTAATCAGATCTTTGAACAATCTTTCACACTTGAGTTGATGAGCTCCCTCATTGTGCGATGTTTGTTAGTATTGTGTGTTTGGTGGAATATGGCTTTGCAAGTCTTAATACAATGAATTCTCTCTCCGATGGGATAAGCTTATACATGTGAGAGACCAAAATCTTGTTTCGTGTTATATAGTATCATTGTTTTTATGTCATGATAAGTTTATTGTCAGCCTTGCAATTATTTAATTTTACGCAGAGTTTGAAAAATTAAGCTTCTTTGCCTTTGCTTGAAGAGCTGACATAATCGGTAGAAAAGTTTAATATATATATATATGTGTAATATATTATATATATATATATATTCATCTTTATGTTTTCTTCATAGCTACAACGTCCTTACATTCAAACTATTGTATTTTGGGTTCTCATTTTGAAATGAGTGATTTGCAAAACTAGCCACTTTTGATAATTTAATTAAGAATCTAGCATCATATATATATAAATTAAGAAAGTAGCATGTAAGGGTTGGGAAAAGACAATTTTGGTGTGGAGGTGTTGGTGGAAAATGTCTATTGTGGGTTTGGTTCAATGAAACGAGCAATAAAATAAAGGAAGAGATGAGTGATGCATGATGCTATGGAAGAGGATTTAGTAACATTTAGCTTAATTTTCACCCATTTGCATTTTTTTGCTATATATCTTTTCTAAATAATAGATTTCAAATTTCAAATTTATTAGATAAAAATGTATGTTTTTTTTTTCTACATACTGCATAATTAAAATTTTAAAAATCGGATGTGAATTTGTGAAATGGTGAACAGTGTTTGTAAGTGCAAAGATGTTGTACTATTTAAGATGTATAGAAATAGAATGGTAGTGGTGGTGATGTACTGATGGTGGCAGCGGTGTAGTGGTAACGACATGGTGAGAATGATGGTTATTGTTACGGTGGTCGCCTGGTCGGAGTGGTTACAACATGGCAACGGTGATCGTGATTAAGGTGGTGGTGGTGGTGTTGATGATGACGGTGGTGTTGGTGGTTGCGGTGGTCGTGGCCAATGGCGGCGATGATGGTGATGGTGGTAATGGTGACAACGTGATGGTTGTTGGAATGGTGGTGACGATGGCAGCGGCGGCGATGGTGAAAATAGTGGTGGTTGCAATGATGGTGACGGTTGCAGCGGTAATGTAGTGACGGCATGGGAGTAATCGTAATTATAGTGCAGTAGGGTAATGACAAAAAAAACAGTAAGGAAATAAGGGTATTATAGTATATATTGTAGTTTATATACACAGAATATCATCTCTCTTTTGTTTTTTGGTTAGTTTCTTAATTATAGTATTTTTGTTAGATAGTTTTGCAAATTTCCTTTTTTAAATTTGAAGGGAGATCTAAAAGTTTTTGTTTTTATTTTTGTATTGATTTAGTGGTCATTATATTGTCCTTATTATGTTTTGTATGTTCATTTCTACCGCTTGTTATACCACATGTTAGTTTAAAAGGTCAGTTGAAGAAAACGTAGTTCTTACCCTTTTTTAATGGAGTAAAAGGTACAACTTGAAATCTTGTGTGTAAGGCTAAATTAAATTTGGTAAGGGGGACTTTGGTCAAGGTTTTGGTGGTAGAAAGGATAATTGATGGCGGCCATAGGATTGGGTAAATGTTATTGACGTTTTTACAAAGAACTCTATTGAAGTCCAAAGCTTCATGCCTTCATGGAGGTTCAGGTTCATGTGAAATCTTAAAACAGATTTTTTTTGTTAATCTTAAAACAGATTAATCTCTTTTCTTTCATGTGACTAAAAATTTAAAATCCCAAGATAGCTAAGACTGTAATTTTTGCTTACCTTACAAATGTCAAGTGTATAAGTAAATAAGACTTGCATACATTCTTTCTGAATTCTCGAACAAAGTTTCTTTCTCTTTTGTTGATTTTGATTAAGAGTGTGACATGTAAAATTTAGAAGAAAAGAGAAGAAAAGAAAATCAAAATGTAGAAGAATTATTTCTACCGTATAATTGTAGTAGGAAGTTTTAACCTTTTTTATGTTACTTTTGGGATGAATTGGGAAGAAAACAATTCTTCCATGTTTTATTTGACTGGTTAACTTGTAAAAGAAAATAGAAGAATTATAATTCTTCTCTTTATTTTTCTTCTATATGATGCTAACAGTCATACCCTAATTGTTTTGTGTTATTTAAGAAACATAATAGAATATTAATATTTAAGAAACATAGTAGCGAATGGTATATTAATTGTTTATATGATTAGCTAGAGTTAAGCCGGATCTCAAAAATTAAAATTACAATCTTAGAAACATAGGTTGGGATACCTCGACCAATACAACATCAAACAAATTTTTAATACATCAATCTTATGACATTAACCAAAATTTTCTTTTTGTGATGTGTATATACTATGTAAAAATATAAAATACAAAACAAACTTTTATTCTTATAAGAAAATTAACAAAAATAATTATAAACGGAAAACCCACGCGTAGCGTGGGTACTCACCTAGTATTATGAATACTTAAACTGATAAAAAATTCTAAATATCACGGGGTTATATATTCTTAATATCACGGGGTTATATGGCGGAATGAGTTTGGATCGATATTAACATAAATATAAAATATCATTAATCAAATGTTACAATACGAGTCATTTTTTTTTATCAACAATACTAATATTATAGTATATTAAAAACACTATAACAAGTTGATTTAATTAAGATTGAGTGAAAAAAAAATTTATTCTGTGGTATACTGCAGGTTAAATCTAAAATTAATACAAAATAAATAACTTTAATATCAAACTTATAAATTATGAATTTTAGGTGATTATAAATTACATATTTGTCCCGCGGTGTACCGCGGGTTAATCTCTAGTATTATAATAATAAATATATTAAAAAAGGGGCTTTTGCAAAAATACTACTTTTTCAATGCCACTTTTCAAAAATACCCATTTTTTAAAACCTTATAAAAAATACTCTTAAAAATATAAGATTTACCCAAATATGTATGTAATATTATTAAAACATACACAAACTACATTTCTATGTATCTAAAATCTTATAAATACTTTATAAATACCTTATAAATGCATTTTAAATACCTTTAAAAACCTTTAAAATATCTTGTAAAACCTTTGAAAAATCTTAAAAATCCTTTAAAATAACTTGTAAAACCTTTAAAAACACCTTATAAAACCTTATAAATACTTGGATCGAGTCTTCAAGTAGTAGTTACAATCCATAAGTACCTTATAAACCTAATAAAACTTTATAAAAATTTCAGATTTAAAAATGGGCATTTTTTAAAATGGACATCTAAAAGGGGCATTTTTGAAAAGGGGCACACCAAAAGAGGTATTTTTAACAATTTCTCTTAAAAATACTAAAAGAGGTATTTGAAAAGGGGCACACCAAAGGAGGACTTTGAGGATCATCAAAGCCTAAAGTGCAGTCCTTGATATCATGTTTCAAAGAGCCACACTTAGTGCAGAAACTTCTCAAACGTTCAAACTTGAATTTCACAATTGTTCCCTCAGCATTGTTGAAGTGAAACATCCTTTGGAAGCGAAGGGGATTGTCAAAATTCCACGCCATCTGAACCCTTACAAACTCCACCATGGTGGCATTTTCATCAAAATCCACATGCTTCACTAAACCAATTTGGTTTCCCACATACTCAGCCATATCATTCGATAGATACAACAAAGGGATACCCTTGATTTGAACCCAGAAATTGATGATCTTCATCTCCTCATCACTGATGTTTGGGTACCAACGATGAACAGCAAGCATCCAATCGTTAAAAGCCCAGGGACCGCGGCGTTAAACCAGATTCAGAGCCTCCTCACTCTGGAACACAAATTGGACTCGTCCTTGACCCAAAATACGACCCACACAAGAGTCAGCAAATCCCCATACACGAGGCATCTGCCCAATAAGGGCTCGGAGGTTCTGTTTTCTGGGGTTGACCGTCGTAACCACCAAAGAGAATCGATTGGCAATAGCTGCACGAGCACAGAATTCCGGTGGTAAAGAGACCGGCGTTTCATCAATTCCCAAATCCAAATCTTGGATCGATTTTCGCAAGTAATCACTCATCTTTGAAAGCAATGTGGAAATGATCTTCAGACAGACAAAAGGAGTAGTGAATCGGATTAGAGCAGAGAAGGAATGGAGGATTCCGACATATATATAGTTTCTCTTCCATGGCGGTTTTGGTAAACGGTTATCTGAGAGAAGTTGAAAAACCGAAAACCGAAACGAAAAACTGCTCCGAAAACAAAGCAGAGAGAAACCGTTAGAATCCAAACCAGATATATGGCTTGATTCTGCCGGAAAAAACACTCCGAGAAGGAGAAAAAAGAAGATGGGGATGGAGAAAGTTCCAATCGCCCACAAAAACCATATAAAAACCATATAATAGCCTTATAAAATTTTACAATAACTTTTACAAGAGGCTTATAAACCTTATAAATTCTATTAGGTTTTATTTTCCGCCATACCCCAAATTCTAGTAGACCGGGTATTCGGGTTTACCCGAACCCGAATGGATAGCCCGAATACCCAGCCTACCCCAAAGCAACCAAGTTATTGTCGGGAGATCTGAGATTGAGATTTGAGAGACTTGAAGGGTTTGGCTACTTGCAGGGTATGGCGGAAAAAGAATCAAGTGAACTCGGGATTACAAAAGCATCTTCAGTGCAAGAGAGAATCAAAAATAATCGAAAGCGAAAGCTTGAAACTTCCGAAAACCAGCAACGAAGCTGGGGCTCCTTGAGAAGTTGCGGATTGGCCCTAGTAAATTTTCTCCGAAATTCCTCCTAGCTTTATAGTTTTGTAGTGATTTTGATTTTGGATGATCTGATTGTCGTAGGGGTATAGAGTCTCACGGAACAAGCGCCTTACCGTTCTGACCAAAGTCTAACTGCGTCGTTTAATTTTGTTAGGGGTTTGATAAGGATTGGTGTTCTTATGAAGAAATTCAGTCTACTTGGGAATATAATTATGAAATCGCCCTTTTTGCTAGGATTGGACTCCACTGTCACAATTTGCAGAAGGTAACTCTCATCATCATCACTATTCTCTCTCTCTCTGTCTTTTGTCAAAAAGAAATTATAAGTTTTTACGTTTTTGACAGGGAACAAACTATAAGTTTAAACGCTTGGAAAAGTGTGGTACTCACTCGACTAGATACGAGGACTACTACATAACTTTCGAGGCAACGGATCCGACCAGCAGCTCGGTCTTCTCTTTTCAGACCATGTTAGGCAATGATTATAAGAATCTTACTTGGGGTATCGGTCTTACGTTGGCGAGCTTAGCCGCCAGAATCAAAGCAACACGTAAGAATCTATATTACCTCCATATGCATAACAGTTTTTATTCGGGACTTACTGTTTTTGGAGATGAATTTGTCAAAAGAGGACTAACTGTTTATAAACATCACTTTTTAGATGGTACCGAGAGTGTGGATGAAGTTTGGGACATGGCTGCAATAGATGATTTCTACAAAGGTCCGATGCCCAAATGGTTTTCTGATGAGGCCTTGGTCCGTGACGATAAAAAGTTTTACGTGGTAATAAGAAACATCCTTCATGTCCACATTGGAGTTTTTGAATTTTTGTTCTAGTTTTAATAAATTTCTGTTGATCATCATCATTCGCAGGTGCAAGAATCAGAGCTGCATGAGAATGACTGGCTGCAACTGCTCATGGAAGTCGCCTTCTACTCCAAAACAGAGAGTGTAAGTTCTTGAATGTCGCAATTCTTGTTCTCTCCCAAAAAAAATAAAAGCAAGTGAAACTTGTTTGTCTCTTCCCCTCTTTACGCTTGCCACAAATGTAATTGCAGGGTGTAAGCGCTTGCAAACCCTTGGAGATCAAGAAGGTTGTTGTACAAACTTTTGAAGAATACACAACAGAGGCTCGTGAGAAGCTCAAGGCAGATAATGCAATCTTCTACATAAGTTACAAGTGTATTGCTGATCCTTCAACACCCTGGGCTGGTGAGCACGACGCTATAATAAGGAAAACCATGGATGGGAAACCAGGGCACATGAGCCTTGAAGTTGCTGTCACTAAGGAACAAATAGAAGACAGAGAGACATGAGGATCTTGTCTGCTATATAATCTATCAGCTGCTATCTATTGGAAACTTTTTATCATGTTAGTGTTTATTATCTATGCACGGATGTTGTGTGTCTTTGGCTTGTGTTTATGTCTTCGACTCTTTGGACTAGAACGGAGTGGGGTCTATGTTTAAAATCTCTACTGAAGGATTTCTATTTGCAATGCATAATTATTATGAGTAACACCCACAAGTGCATCTTCTCCTTACAGTTGAATGGTTGATTGAGATTATACATCACAGTTTTGTCCGAGACGGAGACATTTGCATATCAGTGGTCACTGTGTCCAATGTTGGCTTGGACGACTCGTGTCGTATGCCACCACGGGTATACGTCGTGGGGATGGGGCCTATAATCGCCTTGCGACTTAGCTATCGTCTTTAAATGCTTTGGTCTCATTCACAGTAAATCTACTTTGGTTCTGTTCGGGTTACCTGTTGGATATTTTTGCTTTTTGCAATTGCAATTACCAAATTAAGATTGCGAACTAAGTCCTCGAATGTTTGTTTTTCTTTGAATTGTGAAGCTAAAAAAAACTGTGAGACAAGTTCTGTTAGATGAATTTATGCAGCCTCCGTAAAGTTTAATTATATGCGTTTCAAACGCACTTAACGCTTCGAACTTTTGACTAATCCAAGATGCACTGAATATTATCGTTATGGTTTGGTGTAATAAGTTAAGCAAAAACATGGATAAAAAAGCAAAGAAAAACTGAGGAATTGTTCATACCAAAAACATTAAACAAAGATCACATCATACGAAGCCTATACCTTGTGATTCAGCTTTGGAGCCCTTCATGAAAGTTGTAGGAAATTGAATTAGCTTTCCAACGGTGGTGAGTTTGTCTGAAACGGAGTTGCGGAGCAAAAGTTACAATCCGATCGGTTTACAACCGATCGACGAAACCGAGCGGCAAAATTGCAAAAATCTACTAAACAGATCCGATCGGTTGCAAACCGATCGAGAAACCCGATTCGCGACTCCTTCTTCTTCTTCTCAAATATTCCGCCGTTTCTCATTTAATTTGAAAACACAAAAATCTCTCTATCTCACTCGATTCTACTCCGATTTTAATGATTTTTGGCTCTAACCCATACGATTTTTGACAACCTTTCTGATTTTGGCACTCAATCATTCGATCTACAAAGGTATGTCCTCCAAAATCCCAATTTACAGTCCGTTTTTGGAAAAATCAAGGTGAAAAATCGAAAATCACTTCTCCCTGCTTGAATAGCTTCTTCTCAACGGTTTGATTCTAGATTATGGTTTCCAATGGTCAAGAACACATGCTTTGATTGTTTAATTGATGGATTAGACTTGATAAGTGTTGTTTGATTTTTGATTTGAGAAGAAAATCGCCCATGCTACTTCAATAGAGAAACCCAATCGATTTTGGGTAGATTATGTGCTTAAAATTGATGATTGTTGCTCATATAACAAACCCATTGTTTAGAATTGGTACAAAGTTTGAAGAATTTTGAATTTTGATAAATTTGGGTTTTTGAGTTTGGTAATTCTCGAAATTTTGGTGATTTTTGGAGAAATAGATGTTGATTTGGGTTTACAATGAGTTCAAAAATTGTTAATATAAATGACAAACAAATTTGGAGTTAGAACTATTTGATTTTGATCAATTCTTGTATTGATTTTGAGATTTTTGTGACTTGTTTTGTGAATATGTGTGTGCTTTTGTGTGTTTTAAGAGTGTTTTAAGTTTGTTTTGTTCATATTTTTGGTGATTTTGTTTGATGGGATTGATGAAATTATGCGATATCTTCTTTGTTGGAATCCTCATTGTGAAATGTCTTATATTTTGTAGGATACACATGGCTCCGAAAAAGAGACAACGTCCAGGAAAAGAGCCTATGACTGAAGAACGTAGTGAGCCTCAAGACATCCAATGGACACACCGAGAGAAAACATCACGAAGCGATTTCGAGAAAATCAAAGTCCATCCAACACGCTTCGTTGACAGATTTTTCAACATGCACTGAATATTATCGTTATGGTTTGGTGTAATAAGTTAAGCAAAAACATGGATAAAAAAGCAAAGAAAAACTGAGGAATTGTTCATACCAAAAACATTAAACAAAGATCACATCATACGAAGCCTATACCTTGTGATTCAGCTTTGGAGCCCTTCATGAAAGTTGTAGGAAATTGAATTAGCTTTCCAACGGTGGTGAGTTTGTCTGAAACGGAGTTGCGGAGCAAAAGTTACAATCCGATCGGTTGTAAACCGATCGACGAAACCGAGCGGCAAAATTGCAAAAATCTACTAAACAGATCCGATCGGTTGCAAACCCTTGTGCCTAAACAGATCCGATCGGTTGCAAAAATCTAAAAATCTACTTTATCTCTTAGAGCAGTGCCCTTGTGCCTAAACTACTCCATACCCAGGCTCGCCAGCCCATTTTATGAGCTACAATGAACCCGTGAGTTCACTATAGACCAGGTTCCACCGGACTCGTCAGTCGGTTAATGAGCTGCAAAGAACCCGTCAATTCAATGCAGACCATCTCCACTCATCCAAGGATGGTACCACCATCCCCCAAGGAGAGCAATCTCATGCATATAATCATTTTTATACTTTAATATAACTTGACATAAGATACCACATAACATGTTACTAACAACCTTACTATAACATTCACAAACACATTCACATAACCAACAAAGACAATTATCTAGTCTATACTCAGCAACTATCGAAAAGAATGAAAGGAAAAAGATTACTGCATATCCGCAAATACCACCCTCACCTTAGCCACTTGATGATGAAGAATAACTCACTTCTCTTTCCCCATAATCTCGAACTCCAACTTGGTTCTCCATCAACCAAAACCTATCTTCATGAGTCCTAAAGTCTCCTGCAAGATTTAGGCTCAAACCGAGCTCGTTTGCCCATCCAAACAAATACAACTCGTCACAATATAGTCCATAGAAATCTGTCTCAGAAACTCAACAATAACTCAGAAAGTAACCGTTCACTTTTCAATCCCACCGTTGAATCTGAAGCCTGTAGTGCCATGAAGCTCTCCACCAATTTTCAGCCAGATCGGACTCCGTTTCGACCTCCAAACGTTGCCTTAAAGAAGCTATCACGGTACAGTTTTCAAGCAATTACTTGAACATGAAGAAACGAGCATAACTCCTTCGATTTAACTCCGAATAACAAATCCGTCAGCGGGTTATTAATTTTAAAAATAAAAATAAAAATTAGAGATAAAAATACAACATAAATGGAATGTCATTGTGGAAGCCTCTTGGCTAGTGGTTGACCAAGGGTTCATTAATGCTTCTACCCCAAGAGGTCTGTGGTTCGAGTCCCCGATATGGCGATTTATTAATAATTATGCAGATTAATGGAGGCAAGTTTACAGGAGATTTCCAGCCAGTGATGCGCAATTAGAGCCGTTCGTGATTCAGCATGGAGAAGGAATTGCGGTCGTGAATCTGATAGGGTCGGAAGGAATTGCCCATGGTAAAATCGTATATGTAATAGTTCTCATAATTTGTAATAATTAATAAATCGAGATGACTAAAAAAAATGGAATGTCATTAATTTTAAAAGATACAAACTATTTAAATAATAAAATTTATATTATTATCAAACAGTTGTCTAATTTAATCGTGTTTATTTATTCCATCAAGAGATGTGTCACGCAAATCTTATACCAATTAGAGGGTATCATATTTTAACAATGGAAAAAATAGAAATTAATGTTGTTCCGTTTGAATTATTTTAGAGAATTGCGAAAAAAGATAAAACATAGAAAGTGATAATAAGTAGTGATAAAATCACGATTAACAAAATCTTTGACTGGTTCATTTTGTGTTTAACGTATCCCTGAGTTCGTGGAAGACAACTTGGTCCATAAATTATTATATCTTTTATATATATATATCCGGTGTATTTATTAATAACTAGATAGTGACCCGCGGTACACCGCGGGGTTATGAATGCTTGATTTTTGTAAAGATTTATGCATGATAGTTTATTTGATATCAAGTGATTTAGTGGATAATTTATTGTGTGATTTAAATATTAAAATGTTAGGTTAGTAAATAGTATATGTTTTTGGAATTTCATATAGTAGGGTTTTGTGTTGGTTTTGACTATGTTTTGATAATTATATAGTTTGTATAATTTTAGTTTTTCTTTTGCATTTATAAAATTATACGACTTAAATTTGTATTGTTTTTTATAATAAAGTAAAAAGTTACATGAATATAGACTTGGCTGATATTTGTTATAGGTCCAAATAAATTTTATTATGTGAAATTTAATTATTATAAATTAGTAGTTGTACTTGTACCCAAGTTAATCCTATACTATTATTTGGGGAGTACAATTTATGGATTACCCTTAATTAACCTTCCCCTTTGTAAGAATTTACTTAAAAATGCCATTAGAAATAAAATTTTATAGAGTAAATTAATTCAACTCATTAAGGATAAACAAGTCAAATACTATTTTATGCAATTTAATTAATTTAATTTAATTATAAAAACGAAAATCTATTATTAATTTCCTTAAAAAGAATGACCAATCAAAATAAACATATAAGATTTGATATCTAACTTACCATATTAATTTGTTATTAATCATTATACTTCACCTCTCATCTTTATATGATTCTATTTCTATAAATAAATAAATCATTATATCATCTATATAATAAAAAAAAAAGTAAATTTTTTTCCGCATATACCAAGATTTGAATTTTTAAAAACGAATATAAATTATTCAATGTATGAAAGAACAAATTTAACGGGTCAAAAATTCATATTTGAGTAATATATTCTTTTTTTTTAATATCATCAATACTTAATAGATAAAAAATTTATGAAGTATAAATACTCTAATTTGATTTTTTGAAACAAATATATATAATAGGCGGCGGGTTGAATATAATATATTATATGATGAAATGAGTTATGATCCTTATAACTATTTGAATATTTATATTTAATTTCATATCATTTTTTTTTAAATTCATAATTTTACATAATACAATAAAATTTTTTAAAGATTTTAATTTGGAACATTTTAAAATAGTTTAATTTAATATATTAAAGAATATCATAAATATTTAATAGATTAAAAAAGATAAAAAAAAATTATAAATACATT